CATTTGACAATTAGAACACACTTAGCAAATGGGAATTCTGTTTGTTAACCAGACAGGAAACTGATAGAGTGAGAGAGTCCCAATACAAGGTGATACAGAGTGACAGCTGGCAGCCTCTGCCTTCATTAAATAACCAAACCTTTTGCAGATGAGCTTCCCCAGCTCCTGCTCTCAGCTCAAGAAGTACCAGTGGGCTTAAGTCCAAGTCTCTCCCCATCTCCAGGGTCTGGTTCATTGCCAAGGATCTTTATGCTAAACTATAATTTATCAAAGAGGGGAAAACAAAGGCTGATCCCCAGTTTGAGTTTTTAAAATTAAGCTGAACTTCACCACTTTTTAACAAGAGCAGCCCATGCCTTTGCTCCCGAGAGGAACTGTCCTGATCTGACGATCCCATATGTGCACACCAGAAATGAAAATGGTTTGCAAATCAATCCTATTGGCAGAAGAGTTGTTTTCTTCCTTTGAATTAACAGGATGATGTGGGCATTTTTGTTTACATTATGTTAGACTCTGCCGATATTAAGTACCAAATTAGCAAAGAGGCCAGTTTCCTTTGACTTGAACTACACAGCAGGTGTCTTGTCATGCACACAGCACTCATCCCAGAGAGAAGTCTACATGAAGCTCCCAGGAGAGCCTCAGTAGCCAAAGTCATTCAATAAAAACATCACAAGAAACCAATGGTAACATCCATTCTCCTCTTTTCCCCCTAAATAAGAATCATGATTCCCCTCTCTGAAAGTGTCCAAGGATTCCTGACTTGTCCAGTATTGCAGGTCTCGTCTCCTGATGCCCCTTCCATCTCCCCTGCCTCGGGCTCTATGGAGTCTGTGCACACAATCTGCATAATCATTTCTTCTATTTTTGATGTTTCTCTCAGTTCTTAGAGATGTCAATCCACAGTGATGGAGCTACCGAGGGAAGGTAATTTAAACAACATCCTCTCATAACTGTCACCTTTCATCTTAAAGAAAAATAAATCAAACATGAAGCTTATGCATAACCCAAATGGCAATGTAACTTCATATTTAAGATATTTAATAAATGTCAGATTCAGAAACTAGGAGGTAACATAAAAAAAACCTGCTTTTCTTGCGAAGGATAGTTACAAATGTTTCAAGTAAATATCTTATAGGATGTGAGTAGAGGGGCACACTATGGGGAGACAAGTCACAGAAACTTTTGCTAGTAGGACTCCTTTCAAATAGAAATGAAGATGAGCCCTGTGCATTTGCAGAGGTGCAGAGCTTTGTGATAGACTCGAGGTCTTTTGAGCATCCCCAGTGTAACTCCAACAATCCTTCTGAAGGTGACCAAATTAAATCAAAGAAAATAAATCATCACAATTATGTTA